CGGTCAAAGGAAGCACTAATTAAGACCATTATGGTTAGAGTGGCACATTGGGTAAGATCATTGTTTATTTTTGACCAATTCCCAATCAATGAAATCATAAAATGTTGGCAAGTAATAGCTGGTACCTCATCCACTAGAACCCTAAGAATAACAACATAAAAACAGTACAGAAAATAAAACTCTACTACATATTACTGGAAGAAATTTGCTGGTGCCAAAAGTTTAGATGTAAATGGAAAATTAAGGAGATGGGATTATGGAAATACTAATTCTTCCATTTCCTAGCAAACAGGAGGAAGAAGAATTTCATTTCTAAATTGGTGATGGGTGGGAGGGAACTGAACAATCAGGAGGAAATTGTTTAGATCATTGTTGATCATTTTAACTCTCTCTCTCTCTCTCTCTGTTTGTGTATGCATGTATCATAGTTGTCAAAGGCAACGCCTAGGTGGGCGCCTAGGTGACTAGGCACTTTTCAAAGAGCGCCTTGCCCAAATTCCAGGAAAATATAATGATAAGCGCATGCTTAGGCGACTGAAACAAATATATAATACTTATTAAATAAAAACAAATATAATATATATATATTATTTTATTGGTTGGTTTTAGTTTTTATGATAGAACCTATTGCATGTTATCATGTTTTTGTTGTGAGGAAAATAAAAACAAACTTAATCTTCGAGGTTTCACTTTGACAAAAGAATTGAACTGAGGAAGAGGAAAGAACAACAGCCCCCCATCATTTCCACACAGTCTTCTAAGTCAAGGTGAGTTAATCTTCGTTTTGTTCTCTGTTTCCTTTCTTTCTGTTGGTTTAGAACAGTGGCTCTGCTCCCCTTCTTTTCTTCTTAAATTTCTTGCATTTTTTTCAGCTTTTTTTTTTCTCATTATTGGTGTCTGAAACAGGGGCTCCGCCCCTTCTTTTCTTCTTCATATTCTTCTTTTATTTTAGTATTTATTTTCACCAGCTTTTCTGGGTCTAGAACAGGGCTCCGCCCCCTACTTTTCTTCTTCGTTTTCTTCTTTTATTTTAGTATTTGTTCCCTAAGTTTTCTTGATATAAAACAGGGGCTCCACCCCCTTCTCTTGTTCTTAAATTTCTTGCAGTTTTTTTCACCTTTTTTTCTCATCATTGGTGTCTGAAACAGGGGCTCTGCCTTTTCTTTTCTTCTTCATATTTCTCCTTTTATTTTAATATTTATTCACCAGCTTTTCTGGGTCTAGAACAGGGGCTCTACCCCTACTTTTCTTCATTTTCTTATTTTATTTTAATATTTTTTCACCAGCTTTTCTGGACCTAGAATAGGGGCTTTACCCCCATCTTCTTCTTAGGTTCTTTTCTTTTCTTGGTCTAAAATAGGGGCTACAGCCCCATAGTTTTCAAGGCGCCAAAGTGAGGCTAGGTGACAGGAGGGGCGCCTAGTTTTCTACACGGGCACCTAGGCATTGCCTAGGTGATGGATTTTTTCATGTAGAAAACATAGATCCTAGGATAGTTCCATAGGTACCATAACCATATTTCCTTAATAATTATTCATAATTTTCATAAGAAAAGTATAGAGTTCATGTTAAAGTTTAGAAAATCAACATATCATGAGAAGAAAAAGAAGGAAAAGAAAATTTAAAAAATATAGGGGCTGAACCCTTATTTTTGTTGTAGGGAAAGAAGAAAAGAAAATGTGTTGATTAGACAAAATTTTAAGTTCTTACTTTATTGCTTCAGGTTTTGAAGTCTTTGAGGGTTTAATACAGCATTTACCAATGTTTGTGTTGATTAAACCCTAACAAATAAGAAAATAATAAAAAAGAAATTAGTATATAAACACAAAATGAATATTTTAGTTTAATAATGTCTATTTTATAATTATAATGTCAAAAAGTAAAGAATAAAAAAGTATTTTATAATAGAAAGTACAAAACTGCTTGGCGATTAGGCGAGGTGAACCTCAAAGGGCACCTTGTCACCTAGGCATTGCCTTGACAACTATGTACAGCCCCCTTCAGTTCTTTTAAGTTTAACCTATAAGTTGTAACTCTAATATTTTGTTTTGCCTACTTGAAGCAACATTGTAAGAAACAGAAGCACAAAAGTAAGTGCAGAGGTATAAAACCAAAAAACTAGTTCAGAAGGTGCAGAAATCTATTGGCTTCTTATTTTTAAATTCCGTCACCTAGGCGAGGGCTAGGCGCCCACCTAGGTGCCTGGGCCATGGTCGTCTAGCCTCGCCTTGGCACCTTGAAAACTATGGTATGTATGTATGTATCCCCTCCCAGGCTGGAGGTGGTAGGCTTAAAGTGGCCTTAAAGATCTAAGGTCACAGGACCTAATGGAGTTCCTTTGGGATTCTATCTAGATTGTTGAATGTCTCGTAGGAAGATTTGAAGGGTGTTTTATGGATCACTGTTTGAGAACAATAAAACAGAGGAGCATTGGTGGAAGAACGAAGAAGTCATGGCAGCACTTGAGACTCCCCTCTGCTACGCAATGAGGCACTCTTCTACCTTTCAATCCATGAAACAAATGGGATGTGAAGAACATGGAGAGGCTTGGGAAGGACAAGCAAGGAGTTAAGGCATGTTAAAGTTCCAAACAAACAGGATATAGTGGGTATTTCTCTAGTGAAGGCCACTGACAATGAGGTATTTTACCCTGTCAAATTTGCCAATATTCTGTAAACATAGTACCAAAATCTGATACTGAAGTTCTTGAGAAAAGCGATACTCAAATAATCACAAAGAATGATACATTGAGACTATAAAAAAGAGAACAATGCATTGAAAGAGGATCAGTGATGCAGTAGTTAAGGCCACTAGACAGCCTGACAGGTACAACAGAAGAGACAGGACAGCTTGTCTGTTCAATTCATCCAACCATCTTGAGGGAATTCTTATCAAAAAGATAGAAGATGATCAGAAAAATTTAGATCAAGCTAGTGTTTTGATTAAGGTTGTAAATCATTTTTGATACAAAAAAACAATTAATTAAAAATAAAAGAAAATTTTCAAAAGAAGAAAAAAAAAAGAAAAGTTCCATCAGTTGGCTGCATTGGAAGAAATTATGAGCTATCACCCATAAACAACAGAAGATACTATGACAAACAGGTCCCTAAACATCATCGTCTAAAATTTCAAATAAAGACCAATATCCAGATACAAAAAAAGATTCATTCGCATCTTTTAACTCTGGATTCACCAATCACCAATCAATAATGAGATCAATGATATTAGCAATTATATGTTTCTTATACATTGTGGTTGTTTCTTTCCTTCCAAACACCCCAAAACCTCAACATAATTTTGCTTTCTTTCCATCCAACAACCTAGGCCATAAAACAAAAGCTGTTCTGAAGATGAATAGGCATGAACATGGGTTGTCTGAACAAAGCAAAGAAATATGACCACATGAAGATATTCCATTTGAATGGTGGAGTTATAAACATAGGTTTGTTGCAGAAGGTTTTCTTGGAGGAGAATCTAGAGAAAAAAGGAGCTTACCATCCAATAGTTGTGGATAAAATGACAAGAGGACTGCATTTGTTGAAGAAGATTTAAGAGAAATTTTACAAATTTTTACAGGATAAGTCCACTGGAAAGCAAGGGATTGGGCATCAAGGATTAGCATAGAAAATAGTTGGCTGTTGGTGGGAAGGATAAAAGACATCTTTTAGTGACAGTGGTGGGCATGATTCTGCGGATGTTGGTAGTGAAATGAAAATGCAGTAAAGTGATCAGAAAGGAAAGGAATAGTGAAAAACAGTAGTGAAAATTGAAAAAATGTATTGATGCAAGAGAAAATAGTCAAAACTTAAATTTTCTAAAACTTTTATGCATTGTTGTTTTTTTGACAGCAGGGGTATATGTAGTCTTGGTGTTTAACCTTAGATTTTGATTTGTGTAGTCATAGCAAGTTGTTTTTATAATTTCAAAGTCATAGGTTATGTAGTTTAGGAATCATTAAACTTCTTATGATGATGGGAATTCTATAATTTTTTTCCCAGTTCTAGAAGGATTAGCCACCCTAATATTGTCTATATTCATATGTAAAGTGCAAAAACGTGAAGATGATGGATTGATAGAATTTATTTGAAATCTTACAGCTCATGGTACATGTGATGAGTGATTTCCATGCCTTAGAATAATTCTAGGGACCCTCTTTCTCTCTCGTCTATTTAATTTTGCAAGTGGCTATTACACCCATCAAAAGCCATAAGTTTTTCATCAAAACGCATTCATTCTAAATTCTCAAAGGATTTTAACTAACCTAGGTGGGGTTTTCTTTATTTTCCATCAAAGCTCAAAATTTTTCCATTTTATCTATTTTCATGTTTTTGTGTCTAAGATCTTTGGTTACTCATGATATTTGGATGCGCTAACAGATCTTTACAACTTTTTATCCTTTTGAATATCATCTAAAAGTTCCACCTAGAACCTTATACTCAATAGTTTTTGGGTTTTCTTCACAAAGTAACATTTTTGCCCTTTTATGCAAGATCTCTGAACCTTAGCGTCTCTCTACAACTATGCATTCTAACCTTACCTACAAATTTTCATTAAAAAAATCCAATCCTTCACCTTTTTTACCGAATTAAAAATTCCTCACCATCTTGGGACAAATTTGCAATATTCATGTCATAATTGTCGCTCTATGGCAAGATTTCATACTGTGGCTCATGAGTTTAACCTCATAATAATTATTGCAGTTTTATATTGCCCTTGTTTTTAAATACAGGCACAATGGTGCTCTTCCATGTTATTTTCTTTGGTAATGTCAGAATAGTTTTGCATTAATCACAGACTTATTTGGACATCAATGAGGAAAATCCTGTAATAGAGCATCTGGATATATGCAGGTAGTCCCATTGAGATTATTTAAAGTTTAAACACATGGAAAGCAGCACTAATAGCAAACTGAATTGGCATTAAGATGTACCCCTCTATATATATGCATATAATGCAACACACTTTTGGATAATGAGGTGGATTTTTTTTCCTCTTTTTAGGAAGTAGTGACAAATCTACTCCAGAAGGTGATGGCTTGAAAGGAAAAGATCCTGGCTCTGATGGCAATAAATCCAATGAGAGTACCTCCCATAAGTCGCGTATAATCTCGGACTGGAGAACTTTCAGGGCAAACCTTGTTGCCCGCGAACAGGTAAATTATGACATTTCTCCCCTATTGAGATTGTGAAAATCTATTAATAGAATGGTCATGCACATAAAGATTAAGAAATTGCATATTTGAAAACTTTGATAGTGAGAAGGTATAGAGTAAATACACTTGGTATTTGTTAATTTGAAAAATCTAATGTGACAGTGGCAGTGTCATTTTTTTAGGTAAGGAGAGCAAATTACAGACAAGGAAAAAAAAACCACCACACAGAAAGAGAAAACAAGCAAAGAAACAACCTAATCACCATTTTGATTTGAGGAACTGGCCAGGTCTTCATCCAGAGAAGACGACAGCCAATCTGGGGGAGAGCTCCAGACAGGGGAAACCCCTTCCTTACCTTTCGAAGCAAGAATGTGAGCTGACCAATTATGATTCTGGCTAACACAAGCATGCTTGATGTTTAAACCTGATAAGCTGTAGATACCATTCAAGATCGGCCACGCTTCAGGGGAGCAGTTAAATGATTTGAGATTTATAAGCTTTACTATTGAACTAGAGTCACAGAAGATCAGAATATTCTTCACACCCCTATAAACAGCAGCTTGACAACATTCTTTAATAGCAGTAATTTCAGCATACTCAGCTGACTTGGCTTTACATAGACCACAGCTAGCTAACAGAAAGGAACCAGAATCATCTCTTACCATGAAACCAAAATCACTAGAACCCAACCTGGAGAAGCTCCCATTAGTATAAGCTTTACAAAAAGATCCCAAAAAGGCAAAGATATAAAGTCTCGATTAGAAGGATGACTAGGAGGCAAGCAATCTGTTGATTCTGGCCGGGAAACTTTCAGAACTTCCTTCATCAACCTGTTCACAGATAAGATGGTGAAAAAAGCATTAGGAATCACTCCACTGAAAACAAAACCATTTCTAGCCTTCCAAATCAACCACAACATAATAGCTGAATAATCTAGAGCATGAGGTTTTATCTTTGGGGGAACTTTAAGCGCCCAAATTTTTTTTCTAATGAGCCTGAGGCAGAGGTGCAGAGGCTCTTTCATTATCTTGAGGAGCATTCAACATAAAAGCCAGATGATAAGCTGATTTGACTGAGATCCTACCTTTAGCATCTGGAGACCAAAATAACTTATCCTCACCAAACCCTAGGAAGGTCCATCTCAATGATCCTCTGGGAAATTGCACTATCAAAATGGGCCTGAAATGAGTTCCAATTATGAGATTGGTGATCGATTAAATCACTAACCCATTTCACTTGATCAGAATTTGGTCTTGGGCCAATTGGTTTAAAGGAAGGAAGACCAATTAGCCATGGATCATCCCAGATGCTTGTGTTTTCCCCTTTTGCGATACTCCAACAAGCCCCTTCTCTTAGGATATCCCTACCTACTAGAAAACTTCTAAATCCCTATGAGCAAGAGGAAGGAGCTTTTGCATTCCAATTTTTTTTTCCCTTTCAGATACCTTCTTTCAATGGCTTTAACCCAAAGATTCTCCTTGCTGGTGAGGGATCTCCAAACTAATTTTGCTAGCAGGGCTAAGTTAAACACATGAGGATCTCTAAAATCTAGGTCTCCACTAAATTTTCTTTTACAAACCTTTTGCTAGCTAACCCAATTGATTTTTTTTATGGGAATTGGATGCCCCCCACATAAACTTTCTCTGAGTCCTGGCTAGCTGAGCATAGATGCCTTTTGGAATTAGGAAGCAGGACATTGCATGGGTAGGCATGGAGGTTAAGACAGATTTTATCATTACCTCCTTGGTGTACATTGGAAGGCAGATTTCCATCCATTTGCTTTGACTTTCATCCTTTCACATAAGTAATTGAAAATTCCTTTCTTTGATTTTCCAAAAGAGAATAGAAGCCCAAGATAGGAAGAGGGATGCTTCACAATTTTAATTCCCATAATTTTAGACAATCTTTTGCTAGCTTAGGATGCATGTTTGGGACATGCAGGATTGCCCCTCCTTCAATGTTTGCATTTGAGAAAATGTAGGAGTCATCTGCCAAAAACAAATGAGTAATGACAGGCAATATTGGTTCGTCTTAATGCCAGCAATAGCACCAGAAGAGTGCATCTTATTTATTTATTTATTTTTGATAATAACAGAAAAAGGAAATTTTATTAAAATAAAAACTAACTTATAGCCTGGTATAAAGATTACACCCTAAACCATTACAAAAAGCTTTCCAGATTATATTCTCGGATCTCAATTACTCTGGCGTCTTATTTATTGCCAGAGACAGGACCTCAAAGCAGAGTGAAATAGATAAGAAGATAGTGGGTCCCCTTATCTTAAGCCTCTTGAGTGAGAGAAATTGGTCTCTTGGGCTACCATTCACTAGGATTTGAAAAGACACTGATATTATACATTCCATGACCCATTGAACAAATAGATCACCAAATCCCAACTGACTTAAATCATTTTTAACAAAACTCCATTCTACCATGTCATAACCTTTGTTCATATCCAGTTTAATGGCCATGAAATTTTGCTTTTGCATGGTAGTTTTCATAAAATGTATGATTTTATGGGATATTAAAACATTATCAAAATCATTCTGCCAAGCACAAAAGCATTCTGATTTAGGCTAATGATCATGGAAAAAAAGAGCTTCATTTTTGGCAATTATCTTGTAAATGGAGTTGCACAAACTTGTAGGCCTGAATTGAGTTGCAGTCTCCAAGTTCTTATATTTTGGAATTAGGGCCATGGAAGTTTTATTGATATCTTTATGCATGACGCCATTTTGGAAGAAATCCTTCACAGCTGCAACTAGACGACTCCCAACAACTTCCCAATGTTGTTGAGAAAAGGAATTTGGAAACCCATCCAGGCTTGGAGCCTTGTGAGGGCTCATTTGGAATAAGGCTTCTTTTATTTCTTCTTCCTTTACTTCATATTGCAAACCAACATTATCTTCTTCAGATAAAATTGGATGAATCGAGCCCAGAAGTTCAGCCCAATTCTCCTCATCATCTTTTAAAGCCACTATTCAGTTTTGGCTCTCCTCAATGTGGCTTAGTGGAAAAATCTTGTATTTTTATCTCCTAGGTTCAGCCAAGATTGACAAGACTTTTGAGCCCATAAAATCTGTTCTTTCTTTTTTTGATGAATGAAGATAATTTATTAATTCAGAAAAAAAGGCAGTACAGAGAACCCAAAAGAGGCACGAGCTGTTACCTCTTCAGAGTAGTATTACATCAAAATAAAAACAGAATTAGCCATAAATACAATTACAAAGCAGCCCAAAATAAATTTTCCCTTGTAGCCCCCTGCTTAGCTAACCCATCCGCTAAGGTGTTTGCTGATCTTCCCGCCCAAAGAGAGGTAACAATCATATTTCTTGTAAGCCAGTTGACTTTCCTTAATAAGTCTTTGTGTCGCCACATGGCTATAGCTGGGTCTGTCAGCCATCCCACAACAATTTGAGAGTCTCCTTCAACTACCAAGTGCTGAACTCCTAATTGTTCTGCAATCTGAGTACCTTGTACCGCCACTAAAATCTCAACTCTATTAGAGTCTCCTATTCCCACGGGGCCTGAAAACAAGGCTAATGTATTGCTCTCCGTATCTCTCAGCACCCCTCCTATTCCCGATGGGCCTGGGTTTCCTTGGCTGCTGCCATCAAAGTTCAGCTTTACCCATCCTTCAGGCAGAGGGGTCCACACTGCAGATTCCCTGTCCTTCCTTGTATGGCTGCTAGCCACCACTATCCAATTTCTCCAAATATCATAAAAGGAAAAAGTATGAAAGAAGTCCATAGTTCTCAACCAATGAATGGCCCTAGTCAAGATACAATCCTCAATAGCCCGAATGCTTCTTTCCTTTTCCTTGAATATCCTTGCATTCCTTTCTTCCCAAATTGTCCACAGTGCGGCTTCTCTAATACATCTCCACATCATTTTTCCTTTTGTTGTAGGCCACACAAAAAAAGAAGGATCGAACAACTGACTTAAAGTCCGTGGACAAATTCCACTTGCACCCAAACAAAGAAAAAATCCAACTCCAAATAGCTCTAGAAAAGGAACAAGATACAAGTAGGTGGGAGCAATCCTCACAACTAGCTTTGCAAAGTACACACCAGTTAGGGGACAAACACATGAAAGGCCTTTTCTTTTGCAAGCAGTCCAAGGTATTAATCTTTCTATAAAACACCTCCCAGCAGAAAATAACAATTTTAGGTGGAACATGTCTATACCAAATCTCCTTGGTTGGAAAACTCCACCGACTCAGGGAAGAGCAAAGGGACTTAAAAAAGGAAGCACAAGAGGAGTAACCTTTTGGATTAGGGGACCATAATCTCACATCCACACTAAGAGGGTCCAAAAAGACACTGCCAAGAAGAGACAACAGATCTGAAACATTGTTAAGTTCATCATCCCTCAAACCTCTCCGAAAGCCAAAATCCCAAGTTAAGGACGAGGGTGATATAGGAGATGGCAGAAAGTGAGAGATAACTTTTTCCTTGTAAAGGGAAATAGAATAGAGAGACGGGAATTGGTCCTTTAGAGCAACAGTCCCCACCCAAGTGTCTTCCCAAAATAAAACAAGGTTACCAGAATTGACATTATACTTGACAAAGTTGAGAAATTGAGGGAGGATACTTTGGATTGCTTTCCAAGGAGATGCCAACGTTGCTTGTCTTGATACACCTGCATCCCATCTGTTTTCCAGTCTTCCATGCATACTAGCTATCACTTCATGCCACAACCTCTCCCTTTCTCTAGGCCACCTCCACGATCATTTTCCTAAGAGGGCTTTATTCTTGAGAGTTAACCTACCCTAGTCCACCTTCCTCTTTGCTCCTACAGACTATTTCCCAATTAATTAAATGATCTTTCTTTTCCTCCCTTGGCTCCCAAAGAAAATTTCTCATTAATCTATCCAGCTTCTTAGCCTCCCTATTAGGAATCCTAAAAATGGATAAGAAATAGACCAGTAGGTTCGCTAGGGTGGCTCTCAATAAAGTCACTCTACCCCCTATAGAGGATATAGTTTCTTTTCTAAGCA